CTGTCAGTCAGGAGTGGGGGGCACCGGGGGGCTCGGGGGACAGCGAACACGTGGGCCGTGAGGTGGGGCTGGGCCGGGGGGCAGGAGCCGTGGCCCCGCCGAGCAGCCCCCGGTCCAGCTGGCACGGGCACCGGCGGCCACTTGGCCGTCAGCGCGGGGCTCCGGCTCCCGGCTCCCCGCATCCTTCTCTGGGCTGTTCGTCCCACGCCGGGCGCTCTCCCCGCGTCACGGAAGCGGTTTGATGGTCCCTGCAGATCCCGGGGCGGTGGGAGGTTGGAGCCGTTTGTGCTGTTGCTGAGGGAGCCGTGGCCGTGGTGCCTCTGACGCCGTGGGGCTGTTCTGACCCCCCACCCCCCCGCCCCAGCCCCCTTTGGCTCCGCTCGCCCTGTCCTTGTCCCAGCCCGGTCCCACGGCTCCAGCACTTCCCGGTGTCTTTCCTGCTTCTGCCGAGCCGCGTCCAAGGCAGGAAGAGACGGACAATGGGAAAACCACCTGCCTGGCCCCCGCAGCCCTGTCCCCCCCACCGCAGCCCTGTCCCCCCCACCGCAGCCGCTCTGGGGCCGTCCGAGGCAGCAGCTCCGGGGAGAGGAGTCTCTCCGGCCACGGTGGCAGCACGAGGCATCACTGAAGAAGTGGCTGATGCCGTGGTTGATCCCAGGAAGGTGAAGCCCTTTCCTCAGAAGGGCCAGTGCTGTCCCAGTCCCCTGTTCTCCCTCCCACAGCTCTCCCAGCTCAGCAGCGGAGGTGCCATGTGCCCGGGGCATGTGCCTCCTGCAGCCCCTTAGCCCTGTGCCCCTTGGGTGAGGGGGGGCAGCCGGGACACCCACTGGGGCTTGTCAAGCATCCTGCCTGCTCACAGAACACTGTTGGCACCTCATGGGTGGTGGGACCTCAGCCCACCTTCCTCCCGCTCGCCCAAGCCCCTCTCTGCCCTCCAAGGTCCCTGCCACCTCAAGGTCATGAGGAACATCGAGGAACCCGCTGCTCTGTCCCCATTCCCTGCGGGATGCCAGTGCCCGGGAGCTCTGCGGGGGCTGCCTGTGGCGGGAGCGTCCCTGCGGAGCCCCGGGGCACCCCTGGCAATGGGAACCACGAGTGGAGCATCCATCCAACCTGTGCAGTTCCCAGCTGGTGGCCAGCCCCAAGCTGTGCAGTTGCACCCCACAGGGCTGGGGGGTGAGCGGGGGACCTGCAGGGGCAGGACAGTGGCCAGGGAACACGGGGGAAAGGGCTGGGGATGGTGGGTGCAGGGCAGCCAGTGGGGGCCAGGGGACACAGGGCCCAGAGCAGCAGAGAAGGTGTGGAGGGAGCACTCAGGCCCCCAGACCCCGTCCCCCTGGCCTCGCTGCTGGGAAGAGCTTTGGCTGTGCCACAGGAAAGGTCCTGAGCCAGGCAGAGGTAGCCACGTGCCGGGGCTGGGAGTCGCCTGGTGGTGCCAAAGCACGGAGCTTCCCAGGACCCTGTGAGGAAACAAAGTCTGGGATGAGGGGGAGCTGAGAGAGTTGGGGGGTTCAGCCTGGAGAACAGAAGGCTGTGGGGAGACCTTAGAGCCCCTTCCAGTCCCTCAAGGAAGGGGGGTGCTCCAGGAAAGCTGGGGAGGGACTCTGGATCAGGGAGGGGAGCCCTAGGAGGAGGGGGAAGGGTTTGACCCTGAAAGAGGGGAGATGGAGCTGAGATGTGGGGAAGAACTTGTTTGGTGTGAGGGTGGTGAGAGCCTGGCCCAAGTTGCCCAGAGAAGCTGTGGCTGCCCCATCCCTGGAGGGGTTCAAGGCCAGGTTGGAGGGGGCTTGGAGCAACCTGCCCTCCCGCCCAGGGCGGGGGGTGGTACTGGGGGGGCTATAAGGTCCCTTCCCACCCGAATCCTGCTGTGATTCTGTGGTGTGCAGGGGGGCGGATGGCCCGAGGGCAGCAGGACGAGGAGCTGCAGGGCAGAGCATGGTCCCTGCACCCAGGGCACCTCTGGATGTTCCTGCTCTGCTGCTCTGCGCTCCCAGCTGTGCAGCCCGTCCCATGTCCCCCCTCTCCCAGCACCCGTGGGGTGGTCCATGTCCCCGTTCCCGCTCCCCAGCCTGCGTGGCACTGGCCCAGCAGCCGCAGCTGCAGCCGGAGGAACTCGGGGCCGGGCGCTGGGCAGCCTCTGCTGCCGGGAGCTGCAGCCCACCCGGCTGTCCAGCTGGCCACAGCTTTGGGCAGGGCTGTAAGTGGGATGAGATTTGCAGGAGATTATTTCCTGGATCTGTCTGGCCAGCAAAGATTAGATTGCCCCAACAGAGCTAATTACTCTAACAAGCATCTGCTGCGGGTCTGACCTCCTGCTCCGCAGCATCGGGGGACAAGAGCCCGAGCATCCAGCAAGGCAGCTGCTGTGTCCGGCCGGAGCTCTGCTCCTCTGCTGTTCCTGCAGCCGGAGGCCGGCGCGGCCGCTCCTGGGGCAGTCGGGGTTACCCGAGGCCGTGCCGGGGGGAACAGTAACAGCAAGGTCCTTCCTGCTGGCCCAGGCCCCCCGTGTTGTGGCCACAGAGCAGTGAGGTGCCCGGCGTGCCCTGGCAGCGCTGTCACTGCTGGTCAGGGAGCTGGAAGGTGTTGGGTGGTGACAGAAGAGTCCTGCACAGCCTGCCCTGTCGTGTTCTTAAACTCAATTTCTAACAGTTTTCCTGGGTCAGGAGGACTCTATTCCATGTGCGTGTGAGCAGGGTCGGATCCCAGCCCAGGGATCACAGGGCCAGTGTGCCCACAGGGCCAGCAGCCGCAGAGGGTGAGTGTAGGTGTGTGAGTGCGTGTGCCAGGGCTGGCACATCCAGCCCAGCTGAGGCAGTGGCCTGGGAGGGAAGGGAGTCTGTGCATCTGTGTGTGTGTGTCAGGACCACAGGGGAAGGCTGCCAGAGGCACCGGGGGAGCCCAAGCCAAGCGCCAGACAGAGGGGTTTGGAGATCAGCTGAGAACCGCTCATGTGCCTCCGTCTGCGCGTTACACAATGGGGGTGAGGAGAGCCAGAGGGAAGCTGCTGGGTAGACTGGTTTTCTAAGCCCAGTTACTGCAGGGATCCACAGCCTGTGTCTCTGCGTGCACTGGTGTCGGTAATGGGGGGGTCCTCAGCAGCTGGAGAGGGGCTGTGGCATCAGGGACTGATATGTCCAGGTGTCAGCAACTGGGGAGACTGGGAATCCAGGGGCACCTCCTGGGCAGATGGTGTCTGAGCCCCGCGACGGGGGAGCTCCACGTTGTACTCGTGTGTTCCTGCCAACAGACCTCCCTCAGCCAGCCAGGGGAGCAGGACGGGCTGGTCGGTGCATCCAGCTGTGGGGACACGCGTTGGTGTGTCTGGTACCCCCATGTTTGTGTGTGTCCCTCAGGAAAACCTGCTCAGCCTCACCACGGGTTAGAGCTGGGGCCCTGGCACTGCGGCAGCCTCCTGTGCTGGGTTTGGCAGCCTCTCATAGAATCCCAGAATTGTAGGGGTGGGCAGGGACCTCTGGAGACCCCCCAGTCCAACCCCCTGCCAGAGCAGGGTCACCCAGAGCAGATTGGACAAGAACGTGTCCAGGTGGGGTTTGAATGTCTCCAGAGAAGGAGGCTCCACACCCTCTCCGGGCAGCCTCTGCCGGGGCTCTGTCAGCTGCACAGGAAAGTTTTCCTTATTTTCTGCATCCCAGTTTGTGCCCGTTGCTCCTTGTCCCGTCCCTGGGCACCACTGAGAAGAGTCTGGCCCCATCCTCTTGCCCCCCACCCTTTAGCTCTTGCTCAGCATCCATGAGGTCCCCTCTCAGTCTGCTCTTCTCCAGCTGAACAGCCCCAGGTCCCTCAGCCTTTCCTCAGCAGAGAGATGCTCCAGTCCCTCATCATCCTCGCAGCCTCTGCTGTCCCCTCTCCAGCAGCTCCCTGTCCTTCTGGAACTGGGGAGCCCAGAACTGGTCCCAGTGCTCCAGATGTGGCCTCCAGCTGGTCCCAGCTCTCCCACCCCAGGAGCAGCCCAGGTCCGAGCCCAGGGCACAGGTCCAGCCTGGCTCACTGTGGGTCACGGCATGTTGCTGGTAGCCAAAGGCACCTGCTGTGCCCCTGCATGCCCAGGTCTGTCCCCCGCCTGCCAGCCTCCTGGTCCTTGTCCCCAGGGCCAGCAGTGCCTGAGCCTGGAGCAGCAGTGAGGGTGCCCGTCTCTGTACAAACAAGTGTGGTTTATTAAGGCATTTCTTTGAGAAGTTGGCACTTGGGTCCAGGCTGTGCTGGAGGGGCCCAGCGAGGGGCCCACGAGCAGCGCCCAATACATGCAGCTCAGCGAGACACGATACAAAAGGTACAAACAAAGTAGAAAACAGGAATTGTAGTACAATGTGTAAAAATAAATAACTGGAGGCTGGGCTCCCGGCTGGGCTCAGCGGCCGTGGCTGTGTCCCCCCAGACCCAGCGGGGCTGCCGTGTGTCTGACCCTTCCCTGTGCTGGGGTGGGGGACACCCACCCCTGTCCCCCTGTCCCAAACGTGCAGGGGGGGAGTGGGGCTGCTGGCCCCCCAGCAGGGCTCAGGGGGCACAGGGCACCCTCAGCGAGCCCCCCCCCAGTCCCAGGAGCAGGACAGGCCAGGAGAGCAAGGACGAGGGGTGCCCGCCCCGAGAGCCTCCATGGCTGTCCCTGTGCCACATGAGGCAGAGCCCACCCTCCCCTCCTGGGGCCACCTTGGGCACACCGTGGCTCCCAGGCAGCGCAGCGCGGCCCTGCAGCCCTCTCGGTGCCACCATCGCTGCTGCAGACCCCTGTCCTGTGCCCAGGGCAGCTCCCAGGGCTGCCGGCACCAGGAACCCCCTGCCACGTGCGTGGTGGGGATCGGGGCGCAGCACCGTGCCCGCGGCGTGGGGACACCCCGGGCATCGCACCGAGGGGAGGTTCATGGCTGAGGCAATGACAGAGATGGGGCCGCAGTCACAGATGGTTCTTGGCGGGAAATGGGGAGGGAGTGGGCAAAAGTGACGGGTTTTGGCTGCTGTGATAAACGCTTGGGGCTGGGGGTGCAGCCGTGGTGGTGACGTGCTTTGGGGTGAGGTGACAGAGTGGGTCCAGCACAGTGTGATGGGAAGGAAACACCCCCAGACCCCGCTCTGGGGTGGCTGGGTGTCCTCCCTGACACCAAAACATGCTCACACCCGGGCTGTGTATGTGGGGGTGCTCCGGTGCTCCCCGTGCCCTGCTCCTGGCCCCCCCGCACCCGTGTCCGTGTGTGGGTCACAGTGACCGTGAGCGCACAGGGCCGTGGCAGCAGTCCCCAGGACTGTGCTCCCAGGACCACCCTGAGCAGCCTGGGGCTGTGGGGCGAGCGCTGAGGGGGAACTGGCCACCAGCTGGGGGGCCGGCTGGGAGTGGTGCTGGAGCGAGGATGGGGACCAGCCCCATTGAAGCGTGGCTCCATCCCATGCTCACAATGTGGCACGAAGGAGTGGTGCGGAGCAGCCCCTGCATGGGGTCCTGGCACCCACCCACACTTTGGAGGTGGCCCTGGTGGCCTGTGGCACTGCAGGGCACGGGGGAGGCCAGCTGCCCGGTGTCCCTCCCTGTGGCTGTAAGATGACATGCAGGCTGCCACCTCGCCAGCTTCGGGCCATGGGGCGTTTTGGGACACCCCTCCCGCGTGCTCCCCTGCAGCCGCAGGCTGGCCACCGGGCCTGGGGCAGGGGGAGCGGGGGGAGGTCACTGGCTGCTGTCGCTGAGTGGCCACCTCGCTGCCTTTCCCAGCGCTGGCCACCTTGGGGCCAGCGCTGCTGCAGCTCTGGCCACTGCTTCTGCAGCCCCGCCGCACACCCTGCCCGGTCCCTGCCCGTGCCCATGGCCCGTGCCCCGGCCGGCCCGCAGCCCCCAGGAGCAGCTTCTCCAGGGAGGGGGCTCCCACGTGGCGCAGGGCACCCCCTTCCCCAGGAACAGGGCTCTCCTGCAGCTGCGGGGAGGAGAGCCCTTAGAAGGGTCCCACAGGTGGGAGGCGCAAGGGC